GGATGGATGGATGGATGGATGGATGGATGGATGGATGGATGGATGGATGGATGGATGGATGGACAGACAGACAGACAGACAGAAGAACAAAAGAAAGCCAACCTTTCTGATCGACAAGCAGAGAGAGACGGGGGGGAGGGAGGAAAGGAGGGAGGAAAGGAGGGAGAGAGAGGATGCAATCTAAGGACATAATGGAAGAATGCAGATGGACAGAAATCTTAAATTATGATGGACAACCTGACATTCCAAGATCGCCTGCATTCCTTAAACCCTTTTTTCTGAGCCTCCAGGAAACCCTCCAAAATAATGTTAGGTTTAATCGGTGAGGTTAAAGAGAAGAGTAGGCCAGCCTATCTAATATCTAGGAAACCAATCCCAACTTCACAGGTGTGCATAGCATAGCTCCACTGTACATCTCACAACTTCCAGAAGCTTTAAAGACGCTCCACTCTGGCCACCAAATATTTTCCCAGCTGAGACAGAGAAGTCGTCACAGTGTTCGTAAAAAAGCAACATTACAACCTCAAAGGCAGCCCAAAGCCTCCTGAAATCCTAGGGTAAGCACGACCCAAATCATCCCAGAAGAATTTTCTTCGATTTCCCGTTGTGGTTCCTTTGCTGACTTACCTGGGTAAGCTCTTGCAACACCTGATTGTCCCGGTCACTGTCCATGCCATGAACACCGCTGTGGGAAAAGGCCCGTGGGCGCTGAGCATCAGGTGCCGAGGGCAGGATTCGCTCCCCGTGGCAGTGCCCAGATCCCATGACGCCTGCCTTAACATCTGGGCCCAGCAGCATTTCAGAAGCAACTGATGAAAGGAAAGGAAAAGAGGAAAAAAGTAAGGAAAGTTTAGAGGCCACACGCATGCCACACGTGCCACTCAAGAGCCCTCACGCTGGCCGTCGCCCCAGCCCAGCTCCACTGCACATGGGCACGCGCCACCCACGGGCCAGCTGGTCTGTGGGTGTCTGCCACGCATGCTTGTGGGGCGGGGCACAGGCGGGGGGATGCACACACACGTGTGGATGGGGGTGGGAACATGCGCAGGGGGTGCTTGCATTGCCTTTTGGGGCCTCGCACAGCATCCCTCGTGCCCCGTTTTGGCTTCCAGGTTGGTGCAAGGTCCCTTCCAGGCCCAAAGCGATGTTGCAAAGGGAGTTGCATGTGCATGCGCGGGGCAGGGCACATGTGGAAGGTCGCATGGGAGGGGGGTGTCACAAGCACATTGCATTATGGGTGTAGGCGCGCATATGCGCTGTGTGTGCGTGCGTGCGTAATTTCTGCACACAACAACAAAAAGGATAGCCACCATTGGTCTAGAGCAGGGGTAGTCAACCTTTTTATACCCACCGCCCACTTTTGTATCTCTGTTAATAGTAAAATTTTCTAACCACCCACCGGACCCACAGTAATGGTGATTTTATGAAAACCTAATGAAAATGTTTTTAAATAATGCTATGATTTTTTTTTTAAAAAAAAGTCAATTAAATTTAAAAAAAGAAAAGTGCTTCAGTATCGGATAAAACCCCTACCGCCCACCATGAAAGCTGGAACGCCCACTAGTGGGTGGTAGGGACCAGGTTGACTACCACTGGTCTAGAGGAAGCTCACTAGCGGACGGCTGGTGGCATGAAAGGCGCTCACCTCCAGTAAGCGTTAACCGTACCTGTCTCTGACATGCTGCGTTCACGCATCTCCTTGGGGCAGCTGCCTGGCCCGGCAGTTTTGATATCCGAACTGGACTTCTTCCGATCTTTGTTACACCACTTCCAGTCGGGATGTGCTTTAAAATGGGCCTCCTTCACCTTGGGGTTGGGAGAAGACGAGGGAACAAAACAGTGAGGAGAGAGAGAGAGAGAGAGAGAGAGGAAGACGGGGGAGAACGAGAGAGAGACTGCAAGTGGAGAGATTCCAGATGTTGGAGGGCTAAGCTGGGAAACCAGTCGTCGCTCCAGCTGCAGAGATTCCACACTGTGGAAGATTCTCAACCGCTGTGAAGCCACAACCTCCATAAATCCGTATATCTGCGTAATTCCCGTCAAGCTGCAAGGCTTCAGCCAGTGTGAAGCCGGTTTCCTATCTAAACCAATGATGGTGTCAGGGTCCCAACTAAAACCCTCAATGAAAGAAGACTCGGAGGCTTGAGGCTCCTCAAAGTTCCATTTGATTAGAGATATCATATTGGCACATCTGGGGAAACCCGAATTCTGAAAGTTTCCAGGTTTTCCCCACTCAGTTGAAAGTTCAAGACCCTGCCCCAGCACCCAGACGGTCAAATCAGTCACTGTCCCAAAAGACATTCCTCTCAGTGGGGGTAAGTTGACCGTGACTCTCTGAGAAGGAATGTTATTTTGACTACAAAGCTCCCAGGCTCCATATAAACTCCCCCCCACCCACCCCGTCTCCCACAGTAAAATATTTGGTAGCCTTGAGGCCCACTGCAAAAGAGGGGTTTCCAAGCGTGACAGCCAGCCTTGCTGGCCAACGTTGGGAGATCTCCTACGGCCAATTCTGAGATTTCACCGAAGCTTCATCTACACTCTGCCGTCGGAGATAAAAGTCATTGTTTAAAATTGCACAAAAGCCAGGATTTTCTGGGAACTGAGAAGTTCTGCTGAAATGCCGATATTGGATGATTCATTCAATCCGAGCTGTCATCGTATTTCCTGCCTTGCTTGGAAACGGGCTGCAGTCACTTCTCAGAGGCAGAACACCGGACAACACTGAGCCTGAATTACGCCAGCCCTGCCAGCTGAGCTAATAAGGCAATGGCACACGCCTAGCCAGGGCTCGGGACCCTTGACCTCACTTTCTGACCAAGGCTCGGTAGGAGGCCGTACCTGGAAGGCCAAGTCGTGATACTTCTGCTTCTCCTTGGGCCCCAAAGCGTACCACCACTCGCCCAGGATCTTGCTGACGGTACGGTTGTCTTGGTTGGGGTGCCGCTGGTGCACCAGGGCCCGGTGTCGTTTGCTGAATATCATGAAAGCATTCATTGGCCGCCGAATGTGGTCCTTTTCTCTCTGCCAAAAAAAGAGAAGAGAGGGAACGTAGGAAAAAGAGCCACGGTTACGTTACCCCCTAAAGGCGGACAAAATGAATATTTTTGATAGGACGCTTTCGCAAATAAAAGCAAAGGGTGGCCGAAGACTCTTTTTTTTTCTTTCCTGGAATAGTTTCCCTACAAAGCGGGTGAAGGAGATGGAAAAGGAGAAGGGGGAAAAAGAAGAAAGCCCCCCCACCTTGTTTGGACTGCGGCCATCCTTCTCGGAAGAGGAATCGCGCTCTTTCGGCAGTGCGCTCAGAGATTGGGTGCGCCGCTTGCCTGGCAGTAGTGGGATTGAGATCTCAGAAGATGAAATGGATAGGAACCTAGGTATGAAAACATCAGGTGAAGGCCCAAAGGCAGCACCCCCATTTTCTGCCCCCTATCCCAGAGACCTCCCAGCAGTCTTCAACACTTGAGATTTTTTTGAGATTTTTTTTTTTTTGAGATTTTATTAATATTTGTAGGCCGCCCTTTTCCCTGAGGG